GATATGAACTCCTTTGAATGGAGTAAAAGGAAAGGATGCTGGCCCCTGCCTTCACAGCTCTCTCGCTTGATGTTGTGTGTTTACCTCAAAGGAGCAGGAAGGCAGTACCATGTGCTTTTGGAGACTGCAGGAGTCAACAAGAGACTGAGCTGAAAATAAGAGCAAAGACTGTGACACAGAGCAAAGGAATAACAATGAAGTTTGTGCTGCAGCGTTCTGTGGTTCGTTCATGAACAGAAACAGAGAGAACAAGGGCCCGTGTGTGTGTATGTGTGGATTCTTATCTGAACGCATATAGCATATTCTGCATGTATCATTTCACTAATTACTGTTCCCTGCTCTAATTACCTTGCATCAGGGACAGATTCTATTCTCAGATCGTTGCCTATCCAAGAGCCCCCAAAACGACTTTTGTTGTCAGTCACACACGCACACAAAGTTTATTTTCGTAGTTTGAAAAATCTGATATGCTCTCTATGTTCCAGATACAGCTGTCACTCATCTCATTCCCCTTCCTTTGTCGGCTTTTCCTCGTCTTATCTTTACTTAAAATGTCTGGAATGCAAAACAGGAAAACCAGGTGACTTCAATATTTCATCTGGAAGAGACACTCAGAAACATTGTTGTCAAGCAAAATGTCATTTAGTTGATTTAATGACAGGAAGAGAGGTGGAAGTCATTTATGACTGTCACAAAAGAGGATTTAATCAAAATGCAAAGTAGATGCAAAGTTAACAGTCCATTGCAGTTTTTTTTTTTGTTTTGTTTTGTTTTTTTGAGAGATATGCAGGAAGCTGTGCACCAAATGTTTCACTTTTTTTCCATTTATATCTGAAGTAGTTGTGACCAGAAAGAGAGAAAAACATTTGTCTTCAGATGCTCTATCAGCAAACGAGTGGACAGCTGGACGGGAAATGTCTCACTGTCTTAACACTGAAATCCAGTAGATGCTTGGATTTGAATGTCACTTTGCTGCTGATACAACCAAATTCCCCCACTGAGAGACAATAAATGTTATTTCTATCTTCTAGATACTGAAAATAAATCCCAACATGACTAAGTTTTCTTTTAAAATTGTGTTTAAAAGCTGGCGTGCAGAGTCTGCCAGTAAAAAAAACAAGTCATTTACAAGTCCTGATGCAACACTGCACAAAGAGGCTTTTCCTCTGTCCGCTTTTATTAACAGCTAAATTAAACTCAGTCTTTTGGAAGCATAAAAATGTTCATTTATATGCACATAACTTTAAAAAATCTGCTAAGATGTGCCTGAAAGGCTACAATGTACCACAAAGGAGTCTGAGGTCACCACCCCGAGCACTATTGTGTGGAGAATCATAAAACCTTGAAGAGAATTACAGAAGTCAGCATATTTAATTGTTTTCTGCAACTCTTTCATCCTATATTTAGATTTAAAAGTGTCCATGTGTGATTATGATTTAAAGTAATGTATGAACAGCAATCTTGTAAACAAATATCCACAAATGAACTCGTGAAAATAAATGATTACTTTTCATTAACAGAAAAGCAGCAGTATAACAGTTTAAAGCTCGTCCAGAACAGGTCCGCGCTGGGAATGCAGACGTATCATGAGCAAAACTCCCTGTACGTATCAGATAAAGTGCTCATTCTGCAGAAATCAGTGCACACACGCTGCACCGACTAGAAAACTAAAGAGTGGAAAAATATATAGCTCCAGCTGTCCTCCTGCTGTATCATCATCCCACATATCCTTCACTGTCCCAAGGCTTATGGAGTGAATAAAAGTTTAAATAACCCGCATAAGCTTCAAAACGTCCTGCACTGTATTTATTTCACCACAGCAAGGTGAGATGTTCAGCAAAAGGAGGATTACATCTGAGCCTGTCAGCTGCTTTCTCTGTGTTTGCGGGAATCAGCTGAGCTTTCTGCACCTCATAGCTGCTTCCACCATCCAGGACACACAGTGAGCACTGCGTCCCCAATTTGATTTATTTGTTCTCTTCATTTGCTCAAGAATTAAGAGGAAATTGGAGCTAAAGTAACACAGTGTTTATTTCCCATTGGTTTCATTTGAAGATTATCTTACAGCAATTAAACTAAAACAGGCTGATACATATCAGCGTTAACATGATTAGTTTATTACTGAACTCTTTAGGGTCATGTAATGTTTTCTCTTGGAAGGGTTCGGTTAAAAACAATCTACAGTATGAGTTATTTCCAACTGGCTCTTCTGCCTTTCAAAATAAAGCAGTTGGCACCATCTAGTGACTGCAGCTGTGACGTCCTCACTAACAAGCAAGACCACTAGAGGACAATGTTTGTTTTAGTCTGCATACGCTGTTATTTCCCTTTCTTTTTACAGAACACATTTTAAACTGGAGTATGCAAGTGTCAGTGCTCCACGATCAGACTGACTTTTGTTTTGATGTGGCTTTTTATGGCATGCATACATGGAAGAAGGCCAACACTCAAATACAGAATGCACGACAAAATACTAATACACGACACAATATTTAATGGTTTCAACCGCTTATTCGTCGTTGGATTGTGGAAGCATCAGGTCGAGGAGAGAAACCCAGACATTCCTCCTCCCCCAGCTCCTCCTGGGGGACCACAAGGCGTTGCCAAGCCAGAAAAGATGCATTATCCCTTCAGCAAGTTTTGCTCCGGGGCCTCTTCTTCAGTGGGACGTGCTCAGAAAACCTTGAAAGGGAGGCATTCTGGAGGCATCTGAATCAGATGCCGAACCACCTCATGTGACTCTTTTCGATGCAAAGGAGCAGCTGCTCTACTCCGAGCTCCCCCTGGATGATGGAGCTCACTATCTTTAGCCAGCCATCCTACAAGGGAAGCTCATTTCAACCAACTGGATCTGGGATCCCTGTCCTTCATTCATGATCCAAACCGTAGATGGGGGTTGGGATACAGCATACGCAGACCAGTAAATCAAGAGATTTGCCTTTGGACTTCATTCTTTCTTCACCTCGACTGACCAAAAGAACACCCTCATTACTGAGGATGAGGCCCCGATCTGTTGATCCATCTCCTGCTCCATCCATCACTCGGGAACAAGACGCCCAGATTGACAGCATGACAGACCTCCATATATTCATCACCACTGTGTCTAAAGTGTTTTACTCACTGCAGAAATAGATTCAAATGAAGGAATAAGGAAACAAAGAAGGGCAGCACGGTGGCGCAACTGGTAGAGCTGCTGCCTCTCAGCGAACAGGTTTCTGGTTCAAACCCCGGTCCAGGAGCCTTTCTGGGTGGAGTTTGCATGTTCTCTCCGTGCATGCGTGGGTTTTCTCCGGGTGCTCCGGTTTCCTCCCACAGACCAAAAACATGCATGTTAGGCTGATTGGTAACTCTAAATTGTCCCTAGGTGTGAGTGAGAGAGTGAATGTTTGTTTGTCTTGTTTGTCTCTGTGTCCCTGTGATGGAATTGCGACCCGTCCAGGGTGTACCCCGCCCCTCGCACAGTGATTGCTGGACATGGGCACCATCGACCCCCGTGACCCAAAATGGAATAAACGGGTGAAGAAAATGGATGGATGGATGGAAACAAAGGAAGAAGAGCTTGAGGAAGACAGGAAGGAAAGACAGAACAAAATAGTAAACAAAGGAGGAAATGAAAGACAAAAGAACAAAGGACTGAAAAAAATGTGGTAAAGATGGAAGAAACAAAGTTAAGATAAAATGTACTTAAAAGTGTTAATTACTTTTTTGACATAAATTAAAATGGACACACCAGCAGAAAAAAATCTGGAGTTTTCAGACTTTATGAGAAGTTTGTTTTTCTTCGAACGAGATGCTTTTTCATGCACAAGTGGCCTTTGAACTTTGAACTTTGGTTTCTCAGCAGAGCTGTAAATCTGACGCATAAACAAATCTTTGGTGAAAGGTTGTGAAAATAAGATATAGAGTTAAAAATACAAATTTTCCTACCAAATATAGCTTAAATTTGAAAATCCACTTCAACACACCACCTCCATCTTTTCTATGCATCACCATCATCAGACAGATTTCTCCATCTGCACTGGTCTATAAAATGCAGCACATAAACAATGTTTACCGTAGTTTCCGGACTATAAGTCACACTTTTTTTTCATAGTTTGGCCAGTCCTGCAACTTATATACGTTTTTTTTTCTTCTTGTTCATGATGCAATTTTTGACTGGCATGTTAAATGTTCATTCATACTGACATGAACCAAAGAGTAAATATCACCGTTTGCAGGCGCGAGAGGGCCCTCTAGGCTTTTGAAAACTATATGTTGTTCGTCTACTGCTCCCCCACCCTCCAAACATTTATTTAGAGACAACTGAGAAAAACTTAACACAAGTAAAATGCCCCCAAAGTTGATGTGAAATGAGATTGGTGAATTTACTGGCAACTTGCTTGTCGGACTTGTTATGTTAATTAAGCCTGTTCAGGATCCCAGGTTTGTTCTGTGTTTTATTGTTATTTCAGATTAAATGTCTGTTCTTGCACTTTGTGAAATACACTTCTAAATAAATGTGACTTTATTGTTTTTTCCTCTTCATGAGGCATTTTTTTTGACCGATGCAACCTATACTCCGGAGCGACTTATAGTGCGGAAAATACGGTAATCGCCAGATTTTTGTCTCTTTTATCTCTTATTTAAAACCACATGATGTTCGAATCATGTGTTGAAGGGCAAAATGTAAAACTAAATTTGATTACAGTAACTGGCTCTGGCACGTAGGCCAGACGTGGAACATTAACACGTTTCTCAGTTTGCGCCATTCGTTGGTGCAAATTTCAAAAAGCAAACATATTTTCAAGGTTTACAAAAAGTTTCTATATGGCATTTGGTGAGTGGAAAGCCAACTATAATGCATCAACGAATTAACGAATTTCTAGAAGTTGTCTTTGTAGAAACCGTTTCATCATCAATTAAAATCAATTCTTAGTGCCAGGATGTATTTAAAGGAACAAAAGATGCTCATTTTAATTGAAGCAATATTAATATTTAAAGTTATAAAATACGTTGCACCGGTCTGTGGTTCATGGTGAAAAAGCTGTAACGGTTCAATGCATTACAAACATTACGAGGAAATGTTCCCTCAGCTTTATAGTTTCAATACAAGCTGGAGGACATTTGTCCGTGTCCTCTCCTGGAGTTCTGTCTCTTCAGTGGCGTATTCGGTGGAGGTATCTCTCGGGATCCCCTCCTCTCTTCAGTCCTGAGCTGGATGTAGCTGGTCTCTCAGAGGGCCCTGCAGGTCTCTGTCTCTCAGTTAGTGCTAATTTGGCCCCTGCTTCTTGTGCCGTTGCCCTCACAGACACGGATGTGTGTCTTTGGGGTTCTGGACTCCTCTGAGCCTCTGCTTTACAACCACTCTCCTCCCCAGAGTCCCTCTCACGGCTGCTTGGCGAGCTCTCTCCAATTCTGAGCGATAAAAGGTGTAAAGTTAGCAGCAATTTTAAAAAGTCAACTTTCTTTTTGACAAATAAGTGTGAGGTTAGAGGTGTTTTTTTTACCTGAGGTGATCAAAGGCTCGCAGCCAGTGAGAGCCCAGAGCATCTCTCCCATTAGTTCTCAGCGCTCTTCGTTGACTTCGAGTTCTCAGTCCTAGTAGAGCCTGAGCCAGCTCTGCCTCATCTCTGTGTCCCCAAATCAGCTGGGCCCTCTGCTCGGCATCCTGGTCTCCAGCTGCCCTGAACAGTCTTTGGAGCTGCCACAGATTCACGCTGCTGAAAATATTCCCCGAGCCCGCCTTTCTGTTTCTCCTCTCAGCCAGGCGCCACGGCGAGGACGAAGGGCCCATCAGCACCGACGAAGGAGGGGAGGCGGTTCTAGTATCCATCCAGAGATGCACAGGAAAGCTGGCATACAGTCACATTAACTCTGTGGAGAAGGAAGCAAAAATAAATGGTTTGTAATGCAAAAAAGTCTTCGGGTGAAAAAGTAGAACATGATTAACTGACTTTTCTGAGCAGGTTAATCCATTTTGAACGCACCTCATAGGGTTCACTTGTATCTGCTCAATCAGTGATAGGACACTTTATAAGGCAAAGAACAGCAACAAAAATAAAATACTAAAGAAAAACTGCCTGTCAGCTGCAACTCTGCGTCTGATTCTTTAACCGAGTGACGATCAGCACTTTAAACCCATTACACAGCAGATGGTTTCTCTGTTACTCCTACGTTTGTAAACGGGACACGTCCAAGACAGAATTAACCAAATGACTGTATCATGACTCTAACACTGACCTGGTAAAAATCATTCTGTTCAGCTGTTTACAATTAAAACAATCTGTGATTGAAAAGTTTAAATAATTAAGCAAATACTGTTAGTACTGGGTTTTTTTTTTTCCTTTTCTTTTGACTGCTCTCTTCTTCAGCGGTCGTCGCAGTGAGCGAACTCGCGCAAAGATTTTCATTATTGTTTTGCGCCCTTTCTGACGCAAACACCGAGCTACCGCTACGATAATAAAAATTATGAATTTATGGGTGAATTTATTATCAAGAGACTTTGTTGGCGAGTGTTTCACTTGCTGCTGAATTTCACTCATTCGTTGCAAATTTTCATAACTAATTATTAAAACTTTAGTAAGTGGGTTGTGAATCATTAATAGTGGGGTAATGAAGTAGTTTCTTAAAACTTAATTTAATCACCTTTTGTAAAAAAAATACAAAATTAATTGCCTTTTTAGTGTTTATTTTTTATGTTTGCATAGTTTGTTGAAATGCGTTATTTTGCACAATGGATATTTCTAACGGTTTATCCCACATTTATTTCTCAAATATTTTTTTCTGTCTAGTAAAGTTTAGTTACCCAGCTGTAACATTTCAAAAGCATGTTATTCAAATTTGCCTGATTATGTAGTTCAGAACTTCTAAGAAATATAAACAATGATAACAAAAGAATCAACCGTTTTTTTAATATATATAAAAAATAAAAACTACAGTTAATAGTCAGTAAATAGAAAACACTTTTTCAAATAACAAGAATGTCATTTAAGGGGAAAAAAATGATGTATTTTGAGGTAATCGTTAATAATCAGGTTACTCTTGAGAATGAGAACTTATGTCTCAAATGGACTTCCGGTATAAATAAAGATATAATATTAAAACATATCGTTTAAAAAAAAAATCACTCGATATAATTAACTGAGACAGAAAAATTTACTAGTTATTGTGCACGTTTTTGTAGCCATAATAAAGCAGTAACTAATGTTTGCATGATTAGTAATTTAATAAAGTTTATTTGGAATTACTGAAAAAAGTGACTGCAAGTCTCCCCCACCTTTAAGACTTAAAGCACAGCCATGCAGACATGTGTGAATCAGACATATTACCAAACACTGCATATGCACTAAAATGCATTTGAATAAAGACATTTAAAATTATATTTGTAATTTGGAGTGTCGACATCTATAAACTACCATCATGGCCTAGCTCTAATTGGTTCACATCAGTTTGGGGCACACAAACAATATTTACAAAATTTGCAACACTCAACCTGATCAAAACGTTATCAGAATTCAAACATATGCAACACTAATAAGATCTATTCTGTTTTTTGTACGTTTTCAATAAATAATATTTTAGTAGTCGCATGTCTTCTGGTGTCCAGCAGGGGGTGCTGCACGACCGTCTGTACCCCTACTTCACACAGACTTGTATGAAAGTATTTCACATTATTTGGTGACAAAGTCACTGTTTTTCTTGACTCATTTAGCTGCTGACCTTACTTAGCTCCTTGCTCTTCGTTTTTAATTTAGTGCATCACTATTTAGTCAAGGTTATGACAAAATCACGCGTCATCTGGCTGACATATGCTGAAACTCTCTTTGGGTTAATGAACTGCTTTGTGAGTCAAAACGAGTTTCACTTCCTCTTTTAAAGCCCTGCCTATACATTAACTAGTAAAACAAGCTCCAACTAGGTCAGTCATTACCACAAAAACATTCAGACTCGTTCTGTGCAGTCCTTTTGTGCACACGCCTGCGATAAGCCACAATCTGTAAAATGATTTTTTTTTTTTTACTCAAAACGTGATCAGATTATTGTGACAGAAGATTAGTCCTCAAAATCAAGAGCTGTAACACTTTAAACAATCATTTCTCCAATAATCCACGTTCTGTTGCCTCGTGGGTTAAAAAGACAAAGGACCAATCCTATGACAGTCATGTGCTAAAATAAAATGTTTGTTTTTAAAAAGCAAATTGCTTACCCACCGATAATAAAAGGATTCAGACCTCCTTTTGTCCTCCCTTCTTGTGACATTGAACGCGTCTCTTATAGGATTTAGTTTGTTTGCGGAGGTTCACCCGCAAATCGATTCAGGTCGGACAGCTTGGAGTGGAGAAATACATCCGTACGCCCGCCCAGCTAGGTTGAGTGAAGTCTTGTTTCCACCAATCAGAGGCTGGAAGAGGCGGGATTTGTGTTTGGCTCCACCCCGGGGCCACGTCGGACTGAGTACTGTGTCAATTTGTTGACGTCAGTGTGATGGTGAACATTCTCAGTCATCCAGGACATGATGAATATGAGATATGGGATACAAACATGTGGATATCCCAACTGGGCTTTTGTCAAGTCAGCGAGGAAATCTACAAAACACACTGATAAACAGAAAAAGGAGAACAACAGACGGAAAAACATTGTCGTCCCTTATGTTGCTGGAGTATCAGATAAATTCAGAAGGATTTTCAACAACCACAACATCCCAGTACATTTCAAACCCAGCAGGACTCTCAGACAGAGGCTGGTCCACCCTAAGGACAGAACACCCATACACAAACAGAGTGGTGTAGTGTATGTGGTCCAGTGCAGCGAGGACTGTCCAGACCTCTACAACAGCCTCTTCACAGACGCATGGCTCAACACAGGAGAGCCAGCTCTTCAGAACAAGACAGCTGTTCACCTCCACCTCACAGATAAGGGACACTCTTTTGAGGACCAAAATGTGCTCGTTTTGGATCGAGAACACAGATGGTTTGAGAGAAGGAAGCAATTTATGCAAAAAGAGAAAAGCCGTCTCTTAACAGAGGAGGAGGCCTCAGATTTCCACTTTCAAAAACCTATAATGCAACTTTAAGACTGATTCCCAGCCAGTTTTCACACCTGATGGGAACAGAGGGGCCTCGTCTGTGAATTAGAGTAACAAAGACTTTAAGAAACCTCTAAAAAAAGTTAAATCTGGTCCTCTGGACATTCAAAAAAACCCAAAACA